TGATAACTACACTAGTTTCAAGTTTCAATCTGTCATTGTTTGAAATAATTTGAATAGTCAACTAAATTAACATTCTTTTAACTTTTGGTTGAACTTTAGAAGAATTCCAGTAAATCATTGGGTATTATTCTTGGGAACTTTCATACTGCAATCCAGATTCAAAATCATTACCACCGAATGGATGAATCATTGGAATAAAAATAAATTATGTTTCTATTATATAATTTGAATTCAGAAAGTTTTGAAATACAATATACCTTAAAATAGATGCAGATTCGGGGAGATTAGACGAAAACGTATGGTCGAACCTAAAACCAGGAGCAGACCCAGGAATGTCATATAAAAAAATCCAGTTGTAAGTTTTCAAAGTTCGGCCAGTGTATAGACAGGTTACGTCAACGCAGTGATTGAGATAATATATAATTTTAATTCAGAAAGTTTTGAAACATAATGATATACGATAAATGCAGAATCGGAGAGATAAGACCAGAACGTATTGGCATATTGATCTTACCCCAAACCATGATTATAATGTAGATTCTTCCAACATTGAGGTGACCAAGAAATGTGGCAAAAAAAGCCGAAAATCTAAGTTCGGTAAGGAAAATGAAATTGAATGTGCTGTAACGGAAACTGAAGACGGGTATGCGTCCTGCAAAGTGGTATTGGGGATATTTTGCCCAGGTAACGGTTCCTATACCATCCGAACGACTAGACGCGTTTCTTTGCCAGGCCTCCCGTCCGACATCACTGACAAGTGGAAACCGTGAGAAAATCTAATGGAACTGCCTCGGCAAACCCGAGACCTCCTGGTTAGCTAGCCAGTGCCTTGCTATCAGATTGTAGAAAGGTTACGTCAAAGCAGTAATTAAGTTCTATGTCGTTGAACCTTCGTAAACTTTGTCCAATTCTCATTAAATTAATGCCATGTCTAGTAGTATACATCCCTTCAAAATGAAAATAAACAAGTATGGCTCGTTAGGAAAACTTTCAGCATCGATAATCGATTATCTCTTTTATTTTCATTTCATTGACCATCATTCAAACTTTCAGAAAAAAAATGAACGTCGGTAAATTACACTCAATAAGTTGCTAATCAATACCCATGTCTGTTAAAAGCTTTGAATTTTGGTCCAGCGTAAAATTTACTCTTCAAAAGATCAAGCTTTATAGACTAGTGTCTTTATCAATAGCGTTAAGGAAACTCTTTTTTTCTCTCCGAAATCTCTTTGATCATCTCCAACCGACAAACAAAAATATCCATTTTTATAGAAACTCAGCCGTGTTTATAGTTTGTTTATTGTTTATAGATTTGATTGTCAATTGTTCGTCCACTTAGTCGCTACGGCATTTAATGTTTGCAAGTTTTTGTTTGACTATAATGAAAATAAACAACCCCCAGGTTATGAACAATAATACGATTGGGTTTTTGTCTTAGTATGAAGTGGGTATTCAATAAATGTTACATATATGTACGTTAGCAGCTATTGCAGGATTGCCTTTATCAGAATTGTGATAATATGTGTCTTTTTGTGAGCTACATTTTAATGAACTCCGCTCAAATTTTAATGAACCCTACCTAAAGAAAAATGGATGTCCTTAAGTAGATAACGGTTAATACAATACTCTTAAGATGCAATTTTTGCCCAAGGGGTTAATTCTGTATTTGATCCATTGTGCATCATCTATCCTCTTGACCAGCATGTCACGGTAGACCCAGAAGATTCTTCGCACTTGTCACCTGGCTTGACAAGGTTGACAAGGAAAGTTTGCCTAACCGTTCGGATAAGACATAAAACCAAGTCCAAACGTGGGTACACATTAGCGTTCACGTAGAAGACCCCTTGGCAGTTTTTATTCGATGGAGGTGGGGGTGGGGGTGCGTGACGAAAATGCCGCCGCCCAGGCAAGTTATTCCACTCTCATTGCACAATTAACCATTGAAGTACTGAATAAATAATTGTTGGTCTCAAAATGACCTTAACTCTCATTCCATCCTATCCACCACTGCAGTAACATTAACAAAGAATGGACAAAGCATAGTAAATATGCAATTAAACACCTAAAGCCCAAAATGTTTCGTGATGAGTTTTCAAAATCCACACGGAAATATAGGTCCATGTACGATGTGATATAAAATAAATACATCATGTCTATCTACCATGTGAACACCGCATACCACTTCTCATTCAGTGCACGTCTCATTGGATGTACATGTTTATCATGGTATTTCTGTATTGCTAGCGGTGGTTCAGTGAGTAAGGTGCTTGCTCGCTAACCAGGTTACTAGGGGTCGTGCCAGCGTCTAGTCGTTCGGATGGGACAAAACCTGAGGTACAATCTTGAAAGTTAGATTCCAAAAACGAGGGGGGGGCGAATTGTTAGCACGTGCGCACGCTGTATTACACGGTCTGTCATTGAGTCAACTGGCGGGGTTTCGATTCCCCGGTTGTACGTGACAAGGGGTAGGGTCGCCTGTCCAACCGCGTGAGTTTTCTCCGGGTCCTCCCACTGCTAATGACCCTACGCGCAAGCGAATTATTGAAATAAAACATTGAACCATGTGTTAGTACCGAAATGATATAATTTCTGACGTTAAACCCCATTTCTCTCTCCCTCTCTTTCTCTCTCCAAAAAAGAGTCCGAACAAAAATATCCCTCTTAGCACACTACATTGCAGGTTAGCCCGGTTAGACGAAACGTAGGACGTTAAACCCCAATTTTTCATTGCATATGTGTAAATGTTTTATGTATCGTGACTATGTATAGCTACATGTATATACAACCTATGTATAATGTTTGACATATTACATGTATATATACAAATTGATGCATATGTTATACATGTATAAAACAGTATACAGCCAATTATTGCTGTGTCAATTTCTCAAGGAGTACTACCAGGCGGCCTAGAAAGAGTGTGCATACCCAACAGCTAGGGACACAAAAATGTAACAAAAGTTTGGTAATCGAGTGGTATCAGTGTTCTAGAGTGAGTAATTGCACCCTCTCTCGTACATGACATCCGTTATGACTAAAATGTATAATTGTTTTGTTATGGATTTCAGAAGTCCACTTTCACAATCAAACAATATCACAGATACGCATCTACATATTATAATATAGTTTATTTAGCGTGAGAGTGTTTAACGCGTCAATGTGTAACCCGTTTCCATAAGGTTTTGGTATACGATTAACTGAATTATTTTATCTGCTACTATCTAAGTGTCTTGTCCTGAAGGAAGTATCGAAAAATTAAACGAAGGGTCTATATGTCAAAATGTGGACTAATTTAAAATGAACAAGCTATCCATGTTGGTGCGATGCAGATTTGATTCAAATAAACGTAGATTTGTTTTCAGAGCATGTGCATTGTGCAAGCATGAAAAGGTATATTAAGGGGGAGTAACTCTTATGGAAGAGCGTTCATCGAGAGTCAAGGGTAAAAATAAGCCCGGATATGATATTCATGGTCCTCTATCAGACATATCGCAATTACTAGTACATTGTATACTTCCATTGATCTATACTAATTATATTAATTGCTGACATAATAATTTGTACAATATCAACACTGTTTAAAATAAGATTGATCTAAAAACTGTACAATTTTTAGAAGTACTTTATAAATGCCTTATGACAGATTATGTCAATAATATTCTAGGAACAATGAACAGTCAGCTATTAGTGACGAACAGGACCGTACACGAAGAAGGAGAAAGTCATTAATATTTCTAGGACACCAATGAGAAAGTTACATAGGGAACAGTTTTTGGTTATACTTTTATATTTGAGCGAATGCTTTAAATGTGGGACGTCCATAATTGTCTTTCAAGAAATATACGTTCCTTGGATGACTAGTGATTACTTGTGTAGCTACAATTGGACAGAAAAATAAAACCGAACACACATTTTACGGTTACCCTTCTATATTCTTGTTTTTTTGTCATGACAAATAATTATTATGTCCATTTAAAGAACGAGATATATCTACAAAAACATGTACAATGTGAATGAATTCTTGAGAAAAATAAGAAAATGAGAACAAATTGAATGGCATGGAGTGATAAATAACATAATGAAACATGACCACATTAAATATTTTATAATACAATTTGAACTAGATACAATTATATTCAATGTGGGAGGCTTCAATACTGAGCTAACATGAACGCTATTATATGCTAGACTATTCATGTTAGATTTGATTTAACATAGCATCTGATGCTAGCCTTATACAGCATGATATATAGTCATAATAGAAAACATTCTTCGTTTCCGTAATACAGGGCTAGAACATTACATAATTTATGCAACTTAATGAATTATGATGAAGTAACTACACAATTCATGTTGTTACGTAATATAATTTCATTCATAAATTAATGAATATTATGACGCAACCATTGCCGTATACGTAAAAGAATTCCATTCACATAAAATGCCTTTTTCGACTAGAATAAATTAATCACTTTTTTTAAAAAAAAACAAATCTCACATGGCAAATACATAAACCTCGCAAAATCTCGTCTGCCATAGCAATCAAAAAACAAAATGGCTTCCATCCAAAAGACAAAATATTAAGAAGTAATTGTCATTCGTGATTTATCTTGAGATTCATACCATATTTACTACCAAGAGGAATGCACAAGAATTTCTACATAATACTACCCGTCTATTTTATACAATAATATACAATTACTTATTAAATTATAATAACAGTGAGATGCATGATATCTCGTATAAATAGACCACGGTGTCTATCAATAATAATAATAATAATTATAAAAAGCACGATTACATAATCCTATGTAATTAATTTCAATTTTGAGACAGAAATTTTGGGAAGGGTCCTTTAACAACCTTCAACGGACTTTAATAAATAAAACAAAATAACTGGTACTTATATAAATACCTTATTTCATTGTCCTGTCCCATGTAAATAATAATAATATTTGATTTAATTTGGAATTTTTTAATTTATTTGAGACTCACGAGAATTGAAAAAAAAAAGATTTTTAATTAAATTTTTCTCTTATAGAAAATTAAATTTGTAAAACAGAAAAATAAAAAGAAGAAATTGAACATAATATACGGTAATACTAGTTTTAAACATTTCCATTTTATATCAATTCAGAAACCTTCAATATTGAACAAACAAACATCTCAATTGCACCATAACGACATAGTTGTGAGAGGTAACATTGCACAGGGCAAGAAAAAATAAATAGAGTCAAAAAACTTTCAAAGTGCCTTAAACTATAGTCTGTTTCCACATACTATTTGATATATGGAATGCTTAGCCTTTTTGGCGTTATAGGGAAAGCACTTCAATTTTTAGTCCATATAAACTGTCATCTATAATATTTCTCTCCACTTTATTGCAGCATTCTTGATATACACGATCATCCTACACATTATGCACGACTATCACAACACATCTTATTTCCAGCACGGCACAATCATTTGGCAGCCATATTTGAAAATACTCAAGTCTTATATTATGATACGGTAATAACATGTATTACACCTATAGAAAATATATATAATATATATGTATCTATGTTAATATATAAATCTGTTGTCACTCGCGGCGATTTTCGTCCTTTTCTTTCGTCGGTTTTGTTTCTAATGGGTTATTGCCTTGAGAGTTCTGATTAGCGGGGAAATTTTTGTCCAATAATTTCAACATTTCGTTCATATAATTTTGCACTGCTGTTAGCGCTGCTAGAACGGCTGGGGCACCAAAGCCGTGCGTTAGAAGACTGAAGTGGGTGAGATGTCTTTGAATATTAGGTTCTAGAATCGGTGTTGGCCGGGTGTTTCCTAGAGGCGATCGATCCTGGTTTAGAAGATCAATCATTTCCTTTAACATTGTTCTGAAAACAAACAAAAACACATTATATTTAAATACAATCCATACAAAAAAATGAAAAAAATTAAATCGAATAATACAAAGTGTGAAATTTCAGTTTATAAAATTAATCATGCCACATCGCTAACAGATATTATTTTTGCACTTTTGTATTATAATATTGTATAAGAATAATATTGTATCATAATTTTGTATAAGAAGAATACGCTGTAAGACATGAAATTATTTTAATGAATTGTACTTTTATATTGTAATATTGTTACAGAATACTATTCTATAAGATATGAATTTTGTTTGATGTATTGTTGGCTTTAGAGTTAATTTAAAAAAAAATATTTGATATATTTTCTTTGGATAAAATATATTTCTAAACCATACTAATATAAATATTTATTTCAAAAAGATTAATATGCGAAAAATATAAATGCTTTTTTATTTATAACAAAAATGTTTATTACTTACTTTGTAGCTAGCACCATATTTTTTCTAGTATGTGTATCGTTAGGGTCGCAGTACTGGCGTAAATTATACTCAGCACATTGTCGGGAGGGAAATTCTGTTTCACAAATATAGCCGAAATCTCTAGCTAGTCGTATTGACTCTCCTGAAAAAAGTAATAAAAAAATAATTAAAAAATCAATTAATAATCATTTATCTTATAAAAAAGAAATACTGTTGTGTATATTATTTTAAGAACATTTTATTGGTGAAAAGAAAATTATTAGCCGTTAGAATAAAGAGATAAGAAAATAACATTGGTGGAATTTTCAGTCTGATTTCTAAATTACGAGTTTATTTTTTCTATTCTTTTCTTGTCCGAACCGAATTTGTCAGAGCGAATTAATACCGCTTGAGAAGACGCTCTATCGATATTTCACGTGAAATAACTTCCTAATATCTCACGTCAAACTGCCTAGTAAACGCGGCCATTAAATGAGAAAGTAAATCAAGCGCATGAATACACGAATAACGTGAGTGAGAGGGCGTGACTGTTCGCTCCATGCAGACAGATGCTCCTTTAAGCGCGCGTCTTGATCTGCTGTTGATCCGCTGCTTGCTACTTGATAGTTTATTGATCCAGAAGATATTAGTCGCTTCATTAAGGTAGAAATTCCCTTCCAATTATTACGACTTTTTCCACCACTAATCAGCAGCAAAGGACGGGAATTTACCTCTTCCACATCAGCCGCATATACCACTGTGTCGTCTATCATAGTTATCTGGTTAGTTATGATTAAAATTTAATGTTTACTTAAAGAAAACAGCCCCGAGGCAAATAATACAGTAAAGTTTGTCGGAGCTGATTTTACGGCTTACTTATCAGAAATCTCTCTCTCTATAGATAGGATTTCACATGATAAAAGCAATTTCTGAAATTACATGCTTGCTAACACACAATAGCATAAGCATTCTAACATGTTTTAACATTTGACTTACGTTAAGCGATTTTTTTTTTCAACCAATAATAAAGGAGCTAAAGATCGACCAGGAGACAGCGTTTGATTTATTTATGTAAGCGGTTGTTGTTTTTGTTTTTTGTGGGGGGGGGGGGTTGTCTTTTTTTTGTCGTTTACAATAATTCTCAGCCAAAATAACAGACACAAAGGATGGGTTGTCTGCTTTTATATTTCAATTTTTTAATTTGGAATATATTTGTCTTTACATTTACACATATATTTGTGAGGTAAAAATGGTCAAAATAATTATTTTCAAACTTTAAAAATACCAAGTTTTCTTACCTTCAACTAATGAAGACAATAATGTAACATTGGCTGCTTTTCGTCTACCGGCAGGCAGATTCAACCCTATTTTTTCCAATTTTTCTCTGAGAGACCGACCTCCATTTTTGGATTTCGCCCTAAAAATAAAAAAAAATCATTCTTAAAATAAATAATCATATAGAGTCATATCAAGAACATCAAATAAAAATATGTTTATGTTTTAAATATGATTCAGTAAATTATGAAAATCATAATTTCACAATACTTTGATTCTTATCACATTTTACAGAGGAAATTTGATTTAATAAATTGATACGGGAGTCGCAAATAATATTAAAATTCACACAACGAGCACGATTCATCATGAATGTATAATAGATGTTCAAGGGAATATATTTTATTTATTAGCTTGGTCAATATGGGCACTCGCCTGATGGCCTTTAGCAATACAGAGAAGAGATAATTTCAAACATCTCGCACAAAAGACCAACGAAGACCACGGTTAGCAACCCTGCTTTAATATTCTTATATATCCGTGAACCTTAAAGCTTTTATGTGTCGTGAAAGCTTAGCCTAGGACAAAAAGCAGGACAAATTTCTAATGTCAACACGACGCTGTCTTCCGTGACTATTTTGTGAATTATTCTTTATTTGGCTACAAGCGGTTAATTCTAAAATTAAACACTCCACATGTATTTAACTGTAACCCTAACAAATATTTCTCTGTACTCACTACCAATACAGATGGTAACCAAAGGGTTAAAGAAAGGAACGGGCGAATATTTTTATATCGGTTTAGCCAAGATTCACGTAAGCTGATTATCTTTAAGTAAATACAGCTCAGGTATTGTCTATAAAAATGTCAATAATTCTAATTTTCGTTTTCTTTCTGATTAAATTTTTGTTCTCGCTCTTTGATTATCAAATATGTTTGAGGTTGGATTTAAAATCTTGGACATCAATAGAACGCGTTTGCATTATTTCAGACACTCCTATTATTTAATATATAGAAGGAAGTTCAAAATGAATGTTAAATTTTTGTTAAGGTTTGCCATCTGACTGTCAAATACAGGTGTTTAATTTATAGCTTCGTTTGAAATTTATTTGGTTTCAAACCACCCCTATTTGACAGCTGGTAGAGTCGGCCATCTAGAGTAGAGCCGTCTCGTTATAATTTCACTAGGCAAGTAAAATGAATGAATGCAAATACAGACTTGTCATTATCAACACCAATTCGTTCCTCCCTAATTTCGTTAATTTCGGGTTAGAATCTGAGATTTGAGCTCAGAATTTTCCCCAAGAGTCATTAGTCGAATTAATGCCCGGCAAGACGGGATTCAATCTGCATAATTCCTGATCGGGACCAACGTTCCAGCTGCCAAGTTTCACAGTTTTAGCTCGGCAGAGGGTCGGAGAAGTGTTATTTAGGAAATTGATCAATCAGTCAGCTTTAGAGCTGAAAGAGTGTAGTCATAAGATCACCTTAAGGCTTTAATACGCTAAGAATGGCTAATTTAGGGCGATTACTAGCATCTCGTACAATGTTCACCAGTTTTCGGCATATGTGGTTAAATGGGTGACAGTGGGAGGGAGGTGTCACGTCTCAATCTGTCACCAATCTGATATCCGATCGTCCTAGTTAGTACTCGCTTTACCATATTCTACATAAGCACGGTCATTGTCAGGTCACAGAAATATTTATCATCAAAACACATTTCCATGCACAAATATTAATAATTTCTTAACAAAAACTGAACGAATTATTGAGTATTGTTAATAAAATACCCAATCAGTTGTTAATTGTTTTCTCTATTTGTGTAATATTGTTGGAAACTTCCGTTACATCAAACGCAATCTCATTTCCCTCTGCTAACATGGCGAGGATGACGAGTAGACGATTTATCGGGTTGGTCTTCATTGAAATCACATCCTTGCGGTTCAAAAAAGGAGGGAACGCAAATCTTCCGTTTAGTCTTGTATCGAGAGAGATAATAGAAGCTCGGTCGTCGTCTTGTTTGCAAACTACTTTTCTACAGCAAAGACGATTTACACCCTCAGTAAGAGTCTTAACCTTCAGCTTTGGCGGCATGTAGCTCAGACAATGGAGGCAAAAATTTCAACAGCGATAAAAACCCTTCATTCTGTTTTATATAGAGACTAATTGGGATCACATTCTGTCGCACGAGCTACAACAAAGTGAAAAAGGGGGGTCACGGGGAGCTGGAGATCAGGTCGATGGCTTGAAGACCCCTATTGGAACAAAAGAACAACGTTATTGAGAGCACAAGTTGGCCATACAATCAAGTCGCCATGTTTTTCTTCACAGCCAGAGAGTGTTTACCTCCCCCCTTCCCACTAACATAGTTTAGAGCTCCCGCCATCTTTAAATATGGAAACATTCATTCAATACAAATTACTCAAATTTCTGTTAATGTGTTTTAGGGTTTTGTGAGATTTAGCAAGTGTGGCAAATTTCCCATCGAGTGTATCAGTCAACAGAAATTTAATTGAATTTTTAATACCCTAAATTGTTTTAATGTGCGTTTGATTAAATTGTTTTAGTTCCATTTAAATGAAATTGTAAGGATATGAATTAAGATTGTTCCTTCAATTAATTCTTAGAATCATATATTACTAGAATTCAATATATTTTTATTCAATTTTCTAAAATTGTTCAAATTGTTCTTGGCTTTATTTTCAGAAAATGACATTTTTATTAAAACGATTTAAAGTAATAATCTCCACATCATCTACGCCCCATTGTATTAATTAGCTAACATGGATACCAAGGTGATAAAATAAATACTATTACAACGAAGTACAAGGTAAAGCTCTTAATATGTGTTTCGAGTATATTAAGTCTATATTGTTAAGATGGTCAAGTCGTTGAATATATAGCACCGTTGGTTAAGATGAATATAAACAGGCGTGTGTAATGTGTATTTATTTCCTGTAGTATTGTGTAAAACATTTAAACAGCGAGATCCAGTAAATATTGTATAACTATTATTATCTACGCATTTCTTTAGAAAAAAAACTGGTGTTGTCTCCAACCTCGCCGCCAGTTGCTTTAATTCAAGTTCACTCGAGCACGAAACTTTTGAATTTCAAATGGCAATTTACCTTATCAAAGATACATTGCTGTATGTACAAATTGAATCACCACTTGATAACATAAGCAAATTATGAAGTAGACCTCAACAAGTTTGTAGTGGTGTTGGATCGCGTTTGATCCTTCCCTTCTATTATCGGATGACGAATAGATTTCCAGTACTTTCTACTTATTAAGCAGGAGATATGAGTCTTTTTGTGTTCTCCAACGATCCCTGCTCATTTAAATCAGCGTAGTCATGGTAATATTGGTGATCGTTTCTACAAGAACTCTATTTCAAAGAACCAATACATACATGCATAGGTACGTTAAAAATATCGGATATATAAATAAACTGAATGTCGATTAATTACTTAACGCTTCGTTTCTTTAATTATACATTATCTAATTATAACTATCAACTTAACATTATTACTTATAGTGGTTACTCTGCATTTAATAAAACATCGCCTTAATTAGCACCCATGATATGATAGACTCCGACACTTATGTTTATAGTATATATTATCTGTTCTTTTTCAGATCGATGGATGTCAAATACTCATAACTACACCGTATTATTGCTAAACTTTCGTAACAATATTACTAAAATATCGATCAATGTTGATTTATTATCAGTTTTGGATGATGACTATTGTGTCTCGATTCCACAATAGAAGCCAGACACCAATGGATGTAAATTTAACACAAACAAGCTTTGATGTTTTGTTATATATCAAAGGTATTTATTTATCGATCGATTTATCTGTTTATATTAGCAGACAAACGATATTAAAAATTCAGTAATAAGTAGTAAGATCTGTGCATTCCATCATGTCGTTAACCCTACGATAAGAGGGAGTGTACAGTGTTATTGGTACAATGGTCTTAAGAGGCATCCAGTTTGTTTGGAGTAAAAATACTCGAAACGCGTAACCCAATCAGATCAATAAGCACTGTATCCAAAACTTTTGGCTTTGCGTTCCGTTATAAAATCTAACGTTATGATGGTTTAAATATGTTCAATTTATCATTTTTACAAATTTCTCTTAACTCTTGAAACAAAGCACTGTCAAAACTGTTGGCGTTAACACGAGTTATTATCATTCAAACCTAACTTTATGATAGTAGAGAGGGTCAAAATATAAATTATTGTTTAATCTTTTTTAAAACATTTTTGGAAGCTCTTTGAACAAAGCACTGTCAAAATTTCGAGACTAGACGCCACATTCGTTTTGGTAACTTTTAAATCTCAACATAAAAGACACGTGTGAGATATTAAATAAATTTCAAAATGGCCAATAAACATGTAAATAAATTTGTCGCGCTGCTGGTTTGTTTTATCTTTCAGAATAATGGAATTACGATGAAGCTCGTGTCAGCTTTATAAGGTGGTTGATAATAAATCTCATGCTAAATTTGCATACAGTTTTATGAGCTTTGTCGGGGAGTTTATAAATATCGCGTTAACACTTTTTAATGGCGGCTTAATGTGGATTTAAAAGCTAGCTGTACATAACCCTCACCACTCCCCTCAAATATCCAAATAATAGAACAAATGGTTCATAAAGAGAAGCTGTGGGCGCCATTTTATATGTCTCTACTCCGTTTAATACCTCTAACCCGACATGAATACACCACTGGGGCGTTACTCAGTAGTATTAAAGAAGTTTAAAAGGCCATATTATTTCCATCCCGACTGTAAATCACAGTCCATACAGTTTTCACAACAACCAAGCATCGCCACTTGTATCGTTCTTTTGGTCAAAAGCCAAACAGGCTTGTTCAGCTCACGGGATGAAAGAAACCAATGGCTAAAACCAACAAAGTGATGTAAGGAAAAACCGTACGACCATGGAACAAGTTGGATATCACACTAGGGGACCAACAGTTCATGTAAAACAAGTTGAATATCCTTTAAAAAGGAGATTCATGAACTTGCCGGAAAGATATTGTATGCCTGGATAATTTTCTTCTTTTTCATTAGATGAAGCACCTGAGCGTGAAATGAAGCAGCTTGCTGTTTGGTTGGATTATAAGAGGTCAGGTGAACACGCGGTTGGAATTCTGAATGGTGATCTATGATTTAATGTTATCATGGAGATATTTGTCACTGACTGATGGACCAGACATTAATACGCAGGTGATTCACTGCTCAGTATTCATGCAAAGTCAAGGTTTACACTGTAAAAATTTATACAAGATGGAAATTTTGAATGAGTTTATCTTTAAATATTCTTTTGTCTTTTGAACACCCGTATTATGATTTGTGTGTAAATATGTTCAGAACATCACGCATTACTATTTACCGAAGTTTACCATATAGATCAAAGTCGTGTATATTCTGTTTGAAGCTTAGTGGGTATTGGCAGATTGATCACTTGTACGTCTAGAAAATTACCATCCATCATTAGATATACATAAACACATACATAAATAATAATCGTAATGTTACTACATACCTTCTTAACACGCCACCTAGTAGAGATGCGTTGAGACATTCAGGGGGAGACAATCGCCTCTGAACTTCGGCGACTGTGACTTTATATTTTGATGTTGAACTGAGAAGTGACAAACGGCCAGGAACGGAACAGAAGACATCGGTAGGAGCTGTAACGCCAGATATAACCAAATCTTTATTGTGTTCATTTTTTGGTCTTATCCCAGCTACAACAAACAAAATCCAGTCTTTGTTTGAAATGCCAAATACAATTGTAATTCGGTTGAATCGGAGTTCTAACATTTTCATTCTAGAAGAAGGTACACACATACTACATTATGTGGTGGGGAAGTCAAGACATTTCAAAATTAGCAGCCAAAATCAAACGAAAAGAACGATACCAAAATAACACCCAATAAAAATGTACAAATAAAAAAAAATAAAAAAATCACCAATTTACGATATAAAACACTAACAAAAGCAGGGATTTTAAAATGCGGGATAAATTTAAGGAAGGGTAATAAAGCTTACTAATACTATTTGGGGAAATTTACTAGACCTATCTGATTTTGGGTTTGTCTATTTATTGACTTAATACATGCTTTCAGAAATGTTTTTCCGTGTTTAATTTTAATCTGTGTGTTTCTTAGTGTCATTGTTTATAATTTCAAAATGAATATATTTTTTACTGTTCTAGAACCTAATTCAAATCCGAATATACACCGTAATTGTATTTTTGGCAAAACAAGACTGTTTGTTGTTTGCTGTTGCGTTCAAAGATGAATATTTATAAATGAAAATAAATTTCAAAAAAATTATTAAAATTTGGAGATTAGTAAGCGTGGTGCAGGTTCAACAAATAAAAGGTGCAATAGTAGAAATTAAAGCAACAAGGAAAAAAACAACATAAAACAAAACATAAAAATAACAAGCAAATTAGTATTAGTAACAACAATTGTTGGAATCAAAACATATCGATTGGAAAACCTTATATCCCGACAGGTGTTGAGTCAAGACATACAGTAGTGAATGAGAGGAAGAATACAATTAGCAGTATCTGTGGAGTTCATCTCAAGACTCCATAAATTACTAATAATCACTGGTAATTTCTTGAATGACCAAACTTAAGTTTCATTTAGTCAGTAATAGTTGGCCTCCATTGTTATTGACTGTTGTTTAGAGCCAATGAGATATGGTCGTGTGACCCTCACCACAAACGAGACGATGACCTTACAAGATTTGGCTGTGGGCAAAATCTGTCATTTCTAAACTCAATTATTGAAGAAAATATCCGAGACACAGTTAAATATTAGATCATGTAGGTATATATAGCTCAGACATTTGCAGGTATTGAAATATTACTCAAATATATTTAAGATAAATTCATATAAGAAACAGAAAATTCATATGATTACGTATTTTGATTGGTTAACCTAAATATTGGCCTTTCAAAAAGGCATGAAATAGTTCGCCATGGCAAAGTATTTTTAGCAAGATGGAAACAAAATGAAATCACGGATTTTTTTCTTCGTCATTAGTCGCACTAATTCTAGTGGCCATATTTCTACATGCTTTTATCGCATCATGTGGACTAAGCGAGAAGAAAATTACTCTTGACACCACAGGAGTCCTTTGATCTGAATATTCTTTCTCCCTAATCGATTTTGCTCGCGGTCTCCGAAACATGTGAATATGATGTAAAAATTGGATTTGTCTAGCGCCAAAACCGCCACGACCTTTCTACGAGCAGGCCAATATCAGGTTTATAATGAAGTGTAAAAATGGTGACGGTATCGCACGCTCTGATTCAATGATACCAAGAACAAGATGGAAAACAATACGTCCATCTTGTCACGGCCTCGAGTAGGTTGTCAAATAACAGGACAGTATAAATAGGATCCAATATGAAGGGTCCTTGTCTAGATCAGAAAAAACACATTGAGAAGACTGAACAGCATATTAGCCTGGTTTATTAGACTCTTCATCAATACCTCATCACGGGTTTAGTTATTTATCTATCAACACAAAAGCGATTTGGCCAAACTACCTTGACAAGCCGACCAAATAAATACAAATAACTTTCAAACCCAATTGATGGATGATCACTTGCTCTCATCGCCAACTCGCTCTAATGTCCCTTTTCATGTCTCTTATGATTAATTGCCAATGTGTGACGGATTACAGATGTAGTCATTTTTGTTGGGTTTTCCTCTCCTTTTTTATTGATAGTTCATTAACTCTCTCTATAAACAGTAGAAATTTATGGAAAACGCGACTGACTCAGACTTGCAGCATATGTTTGACATAAGATCGGGCTTTTTCAATGAGTTAAACGTAAGCACAATTAACTCTTTTCGTCACCATTCTTTGATCTCGCTAACCGAATGCGTTTACTTTAACTCTTGTGCGAGGCGAGAAAAGTTCTGAATGTATTACCTCCCCTCGCATTGAAGTACGAAAGTAAATATTTGCCGCAAACTTTCTTAATTTGACAGATAAACAGAGATTAGGAAATTAGAACCTAATAGTTATTGTTAGAAGCAATACTTGCACACAACCCTCAATAGCTCGTGTTTGTAACAGAAAATTCGTGAGCTGGTACGAAATGTGACTATTGGCGTGAATTTTAATGGATGCGCGTGGGGAGACATGACCAAACCTGATTTATCACAACAGAAGATCGTCGGAAGTCAACTTGTCTTTTAGATTAAACAGCGTTAGTTCGTGATCGATGAATAAAAAGAAAAAAGATAGTCTCTAAATTATTTTATAGCCAATATTCGTTCAGTGGTTTTCGATGTTTCATTTTTTTAACGGCGTCCAATTATCCTTTTTTTCACAAATATCGCAGCAACATTTAATAAGGGGAAAAAACGAAATTTATACTACATTTCTATTATGCTTCATACTATTATAATTTGCCATTAGGGAATTCTTTTGATAAAAAATCTCTAAATAGACTGATTTTATCACTTGACGATATTTTCAACTAATAATAGAGTTCTTGACAGTTTCGTTTATTGAATGTACATATCAACAAGGTCCCAGGTGACACCCTTGTAGACTAACTACACATATTTTATGATAGAGATACCAGCTATATTATGGATTTTAATAAGATCGCCCATTCTTGTTCCCCCTATGTGTTCTTTTTGTACATTGAAAAGGATGCGTGAAATTATACTCGAATACTCTCATTATTAATAAGAAAATAAAACAAACCGGGTCTTTTGGTCTACAGTCTAAGGTCCACCGAGGCTAACATGTATATAATATCAAACAGAAAAATGGCCACTTAAACATGCGTCTGTTAGGTCAAGCAAATCGTTTCAATGATATAGTATTGTCATTTTTCTCAAGACTGTTTGTTATTGTAAATATATATATAAAAACCATCTTGGTGATATATTTATTAATTTTTAACACATGTTTACTTTTTATGAAAATTGTTGTTGTTATTATTTTGTTGCGTTATGTTTAATTAATTGTTAGTAATTAACATGCTAAATAATAATATAGTAGATGACAAGAAATATTTATAAAATTCAACAAATGCAAGCATGCACATTCAACTACAAAATATCAACAATGCTATATTTATTCGGCGCGTTTAAAACACCAAATATAACAAATGCGCTTTTGAATATTTTTATATATTTTTGAACATTGATCTATTTTTTTAACATTGGCCAGAACTTCATATTACTGATATTTTGTATTGATACAGAAAGAATTGAAATAAAATTCAATATATTTTTAACCCGTAGATGGGTCAATTTTACTGCAACTTACCTTTTCGTATGACAGAATTTTGTTCATTCCCTGTGATATAATGTGATGTGTCTTCAATATTGACCTAGAAATAAAAGAAAACATTCAGACGTTGGCAAAGTGAATAATACTAATCGTTTATTATACAGAAACTTAACTGTCGATATGTATCTTAAAAGAGTATGTATGCGTTTTCGTCTTCATTTAATATTTTATATAATAGTATCAAATGCGTACTATTGTACAAAGTACAAACAAAGTGTATTGTCTTTTTAAATGGTGTCTAACTGGTTAATATTAAAAGGTAGTTATTGATTAAATTGAACGTCGACGACTCAGCAGTTAAATAAAGTAAAAATCCATGGTGTCAAACCTTATCAAAGGCTTTAGTAATTTCTATACAATCAATATTGTCAACACGTCGAATGTTTATCCTTCCGCTCAGGGGCTACGTTTCAGGTGAGGAGAAAATAAACCCATGCAGCTATTGCAATGTGAAATATACTAGATTCTATAATAACTGATTATTTAGAATTACCTTTACTGACGTTAAAAGGAGGGGCAAAACAATAATTTATATTTTTACATTTTGATGCGTCCTTCAATAATGGCCTACAGGCACAAAGCTCGACGTAATCTACCGGGCAAATCCAAAATGGACTCTTCTTTAATAAACGTAAATTATTATGTTCCAAATTGTGTGAAATAGCGAATTTTCTTTTCGATGATAACTTCAAAGAATGTGATGTTATCTATACAGATACAGGGTAAAGAAGAAGATGAAAGGGCCCGTGTGTCTAGTTCTATATATCAAGATAGGTTGTTACAGGTAGTCGTTATATACCAGTATCCCATTCATTCAGAAACCCCTCTTTTTGTGCTTTGCCATACTTTCGTATTGTACTCGTAATATATCTTATTATTAACTTCAAAACAAATTGCATGACCTAGATATACTTGGTTCATATACATGTATATAAACAAGACAACAAAATGAAAATACATCAAATATTAATATATATTCCTTGGCTTTTTCGTGATTCTTTTTATTATTTTTGGACTTATATAGTTCAAATTATACAATTTCGCTTTCACATGAGAAGTTTAGATAGATAGATATCCTTGAATCATCTTTAAATATAACAACATTAATGAACACATATCATTTCCTTGCCTGTTTCTTAGGATATTTAAATTATTTGTAGACGGGTAAAGTGAAAATTTCGCATTCACGTAGAAAGTATTAAAGCTAACGACTATTGTTATGCATTCGTATTATAATTGGTTGCGAATGAAAATGTCGCGTTGTAACATGTTTTGGTTTCACATTCATAGCTTAAGGTCTGTAAAGAAAAGTATTCGTTAATAATTTATTAAATGTCTTTCAGACAATCATGCCATGTGACCTATTTGCGATCACGGGGTATTGTTATCCTTTAGTAACAAAATCAACACGACTAGAAAGAATAATATGATTATAAAAATTAATATTCTATAGGCTCGTTCACAAAAGCAGTTTATATAGACTTAATCTAAGAATATTATTTTTTAATTCTGTGAGTAAAAATGTTATTATTCGTCTAGTTTGATGTTTTCAATTGAGTCTCAATTGGCCGTTTTCTTTCAGTAAATTCTCATTTCATCCTTTACATAAAATTCATTTTATGAAGTGGATTGACAAGATTTTCAAAAGCCAAATACAAAACGTTTTATACAGCTTTTCGTAGTTTTTTGTTAAAATACCGCCCTTGTTTTATATGGGCGGAAAAGGTAGGTGAAATAAATTTGTCGAGGTAAAAGGTTTGTATAGCGGATGGTTAGGTTGTATTCATGGCTTTGTTTACTTATCAACGTCGTTTATCTTCTTCACCCTGTGTATTATGGGTTCATCATTCCTAATCTCTACGTTATTTCAGGTACAGTATACCTGTATATTTAAATATAACTCACGAAATCTCAATGGATTCTATATACATCTATGTTAACATGGTGCTATTATAGTACCCATAGCTTTTCCATAGATTTTTGTTTAATTGGCGTACTTGTGCTAATATTCATATTACAAACAACGCAATGATTTCAAACGAGTTCGATTTTACAGATGCTACAGAATCATGCAACATTTTTCTTTCTTGTGCACCATAAACCATTTATGTCTCAATTAACACCGTAAAAATTGTCACGAAAAATATTCATCAATTTGGCAAAGAGCGTATGTTCATCGGGCTTAGTGCTTTCTCTCAAAACTTGTCATACAATGAACAGTAATATAGGTAAACATTGCAATAGAGCTCAGACGGTGATCGCTAAAATCGCTTTCATTTAATAATAACAAGAACTGAACCGACAGGATGTACGCCAGAATAACCTTTCTGCCATTCCCTTTCAAAGCTCGTCAGCTAACAGCGTTGCATTACTCGCTCGTTTTACACGACAAATAGATTAGCAACTTTAGCCGTGAAATGACGGAAACGACCTTAGCTTCCCTTCTGTTACAAGCACTGGTGATGAAATCTCCTTCAAAAAGATTCATTATTGAATATCAGAATACGAGGTGGCGAACTTACTCATTGTCAGGAGTGTCATGGTGGCCAATGAAACTCACCATACATGTTCCGTTCAATTTGTCCAATAATGTTTTGAATTTACGATTTTGGTTGCGCTTTTGGGAGAGCCATATTCGTTCGTGTCGTCTTCACGCGAATTAGTGACATATATATCCAGATTGTCTTCAATCAGGACAAAAGATTTACAATTCAAAATGTAGAATCGGTTTTCGATACATTTAGTTTGCACAGTTCGCTTATTTTCACTGTTCGATATGTGGCGACGGTCGGTGTTAGTTGCCTCTTAAAAGACAACATTTTCCAATTTTTACCGTTGATAAATGAATGAGCGAGTAGGATCGATTTTCTGTCTGTGAGGTGGTGATTGGCAGACATATGCTCATTTTACACGCCATAATAGTATCTTTGTTAATTCCCCAGCCATTATCCATTTGTATGATGATTCTCCACAATTTTATATTAAAAGAACGTTTAGTGCCTTAAGAATTGGTAGGCATTTATTCGAGTGAAACAACTTAATGGATAATGGAGTATGATTGTATTGTACAATATTAGAATATTATATTGTAAATTAGATTAATATGAATTTCAAAACGACAGATATACCTGTAATAACTGTCTTGTTAAATATCTAACAGTATATTTATTTTATTTATTTAAATTATGTGGCTAAAGATAATTTATTATACATGATATGTTAATAAAATACAACCACTTACATAACTAATTGCTTGGAACATTGAAATAAATGGGGATATGCTCGAATTGGGGAAAGGTACGACAAGAAAGCGGAATTTACAAAGTCTCTTAAGGGTAAGCTTCATATAGGCACTTGTGAAACAACATTGCATAACATAATTGGTTTAAGAGCTGTTGTATAGTAACATATATCAACTAAATAGTGTCTGGTATTTGACTGTTATATAGAATATGTACATTATACCCGTGATATTACACTAATTGAGTTTCTAACCAAGCAGCCCGCTAGTAATTATATCATTGTCTGAACACCCATTAGAATCCACGCAGCCCGGACTGAATTACGTCAAGACCCGTAAAGCATTACGTTATAGTTATTTTGGCGAATTAGACGACTACCTGCTTGCTTTAGTCGGTAAATGTCTTGTTTGGGGTGCCTTAATTCCTTTCAATTAGTTTGACAACTCTTTTCTAAGCCGCGACTTATATCACTGATCTTGCGAGAAGTTTCAGACGTCACAATGGCCGCCTCTCTTTTCTGAATGTCGGGTAATACAAGACGCTAAGACGTTTTCATTCTGTTCAAGATGTTTTATCACACTTTACAAAAAACTAAAAAGCCACTAATTAGTCAAATCGCTCCGAGATCAAACGAAATTCATTACAATACGCCACCCCATGGAATCCTAACGTTTATCCTCAGCACCGTATGAGGTAGTTCTCGTTTCAAAACCTCTATTGCGTTTCATTTCTTATTAACGCTACATGGTGCGAATTTTCACGGTAGAGATTTCTACACACACCTCTTGAAAAGTCTTCAATCAGACGTGCTCTCAATTAAATACCCCGGTATGTTTCATACTTCTCAAACAATTGACTTCAAGCAGGGGGAATCATTAGAAAAGCAGATTTTTCAAACGCACAAACAAATCAGCAAAGTTTATCTCGGTGGGGTTTCGGATTGTAGGTGAAAGTGGGAGTTCAATTGCGGAACGAATTTCTATACATTTATGAAATTATCCAGTAAGTGCTGAAAAATTGACGTGAAACCCGAACGTATTTATTCGTGTAGAAAGAGACCATAAGTAGCCTACAGATGTTTTGTTTACGTTAGCCTGTTCTATTCTTTGAATTCAAAAAACGAATTTTTAATCGATAAAATCTCATGAAGTGATTATTCCGTTAGGAATTATAAATCTAAGTAAAAGTGTTATAAAATAAAATACAGTCGCTAATAAAGCTTATTATTATTCATACATTAATAAAAAATGAATCACAACTGTATTATCCTTTTAAGCCACACGAGAGCCTATGAATGGAAATCATAATTTGTATGCGTTGCAAATTGTATTGTGGTTTTCAGAAATTTGCAAATACCAAACTCAATCAAAACGTAATATTGTGTTTTGTAAATGGAAATACAATTTAACAAATTAATCATGAAAAGTACACAGTTTCCCCACAAAATATTTGATTTATTCTCAACATAATTCTATTTTTGTTGCTGTGCAAATCAGCTTTTAGAAGTTTTGGGGAGCAGAAAACTCAATGTACTCCAGTGTTTAAATTCTGGACAAATCTTCGTAATTTAGTAGCTGATCAAACATAAAATAGCATCATGCCAAGATTGAAATTGGAGGAAGGTGGAATCGTATGTCGCTCCACACGTCATGAAAGGGGTTATTTAACAGAAAACTGGTCAACTTGTATAAACTTAATGGCGGTGTCTATTGACAAGCAGACGGCAAGTCGACACAGAGATACACGACTTGCTTCACCATTTTTCGGACACTTTAATGAAAAAAATCCCGTTCTGTCAACTTGGAGACCTAATTGTTACTTTTTCTCTAAATCAATGCCAGGGTTTGTCTCCAGAACTGCGAGTGAAGCCGAAGCGGGAGAAGTAATTAAAACTCACGACAGAGCCACTTTCTTAAGGTTATAAATGAGGAGATCTCCAGCAGTGGTAAACTCGGCGTAACTGTAGATAATCAATGCAAGTTATCCCCGGAGGGATATTAGACTGGATACCCCTGACCTAGCCTTGTTCATCTTCATCTTGTAGCTATTAGAAATTACTTACAAGTAGATAAATAGGATTTAAATGGGACGAAACTGTTTGTTGTGTTTACGTATCATATCTGGTACCTTTCCGTGATATTGTAATATTTCAGTCATCTTTGACGAACCGCGCTATTTTCGCAATCGTAATTATTCGACCTTTTGTGCGTTCTTTTATATCAATTATCTTATTTTAACACTTCAAACATGTAAATTTAATATTATCTGCTATCCAAATATCAAAAAAATCATGTACTTTATTCCCAACATGCAATACGACAATAACCGCACCTATTAAATAATTTCATATCCGGAATTCACAAACAAATTAGAAAAGATCAATCGTGTTCTATCACATATCTTATCTAGTTGTTGCCTAATCAAATTGAGTGAACACTTGCTAACGCAAATGACAGACGACAGTTAAAAGATAACCAGGATGCTGCTGAATTGCGTGGAGATAAAAATGTAAAAGACGTTGTGTATTACTACACTAGGCCCATGTCAGTGGCAGGTAGTGATGACGTCAGTATGCCAATAAATGACGTAATATATAAACACACGTCAGCTCTATGGCTGAAAGCTTTGACGCGTGTAAAAGGGACTATTTGTGTGTACTAATTGAAAATGTTTGTTATTATTTGGCCGTATCAGTTAAAACTTTCTCAGTGCTGCTAACAAGCCATTGCATGCTGATGACGTAAAAGGAAAATGGCGTGTTGATCCAGACAGGAATGAAAATAAACTGGAAACCAAGTCCACGTGTTATAAATAAGATAATGGTGTCATCAAAGGATATCATATTTAAATTATCTGGCACCTTATTTGAATAATGGGGACCAGGGAGATAGAACATTGACTTTAATGTAGTCAAAGTGACAGATATTGGCTACTAAGCTGATGAAACGCTGTGGAGGGTAGGATCATCAACGAATTGGTCTCTAATGTTTTTAGTGGTCAACTCGACTTTCCCTCGACGTTCTAATTAAAACAACATAACCACCAGAATGACTGATAGATAAGGCACTCAAGCAGATTGGCCACGTGCTTTTTTATTTGCCTACGTCACTCAAACAGATTGTTAAAAGCACATTTTGTATTAAGCTTTGACGTGCTGAAACTCGAATATAATTGGTCGAAATTCACTTGATAAATTACTAAATTGGTTTCCATTTTTTTGATTACTTAACCATTTGCACATGTTTTAATGGAAGATAATATATTATCGGTAGAAATTATTTTGTGAAATTGTTTAGTCAAACTTATTAGATTATTTTCAGTAATTGTTGAAAGGGACAGCAGACGTTTCAACTGAGAAATAATTATTATGATATTGTAGTATATATATATACAAGTTATTTTCTTGTTTCAAGATTTCCATTCTGCATATATATAGCGTTTGACCCTGATGTGACTTCTGTTGTAAAAAGTAAAAACATCGATATATCATCCTGTCTGTTTACTATGGGGGCTTCTACTAATAAACTCTTTTGTTACTTTAGTTATATAGAAGGAAAATCTGTCTTAAAGTACACAAGCAAACGGTGACTAGTAGCAAATTATATAGTCAGGGATGCCATTACGACTCGAAATATTGGCTAATCAAACACGAAGAAAATATTAATATAGAATTCCTTTGGAGTTGAAAATATGGACAAATTAGGAAGCAGTGCGCTCTAATATTCTGCAAACAAATGTCTTTGTCTGCTCTCATCAACTGTCTTGAAAACGTCAATATGAGGCTAGGATCAATGCTGATAGCATGATTTGTTCAGATCAAACGAAAAACCGATTTGTGTTCGGGTAGTGGACGGAGCTTTTGCAGTGTAGTTTATCGGAGATTGGGGACCGAACCAGTGATTAGAATGCGATAGTTGCCATCGTCAAGCTTTACACTCAATATCAAATTACAAATGTCTTCATTCCCTTGATACATGTAAATTTTATTACTTTCTTTTCACTGTCCAATTTGTACCTAACAAACGAGATTTACATCGTTCCAAAACTTTCTTTGTTTTGTATTTAGATATGCTCGAACTACCTTCTCTCTTTTATGAGTGGTCATATCTACTTAAACAAAAACATTTTCTACAAAACTATTATTATCTCTTCTCGTGAGACTAATTCATTTTATTATTGGGATTTTGATGTTTTAACCGTACAATATGCACTCTACGCGTCTCTTAAATGTTCTTCATGATTGTGCAATCCTTTGATAAATTACCAAGATACAAATTAATTCATTATCATCGTCCAGTGAAAGTAGGAAACAATTCTAATAATTTCGTTTTAGCTGTCTAAATTATAGGTTGTTTCACTGAATTACCAAGGCGTAAATTAAGCGAATCCGGGAAACTATTTTAAAAATTCGTTTAAGCTGCCTTTAATATAGCCGGTTTCACTGAAATTATTTAATACATCAATTATTCGTGTTACATCGATAATCATATTTAATCCTTTATTCGAGTCCTTGCGTTATCTGATTAAACCTATTTCATCTACCGAGTTCGCAAATTATTTATAAAAACACATAAAATGCACCGACATACACCTACACCTTGGCGCACCACTTATCATAGCAATGTCAATTTGTAGATGTTGATGAAGATTGCACACTATTTGGGGTCCATTGGCTCTACGTTAATGAGAGGGGGTAAATCCTTATGAGCAATTAACAGCAACTTGTCAATCTATTCGGTGTGTTTTGATGAAACAGATATCCTGTCGCTTTTATATTTTATGAATATGTTCTCATTTGATCAACTATAACTATACAATAATAAATGGCAAAATATGAGATTTCTAACACGTTCAACCCTAGAAGAGAATTAAATGGGACGTTTTTATGATTCATTTTACAAAGGGAATATTTAAACTTACATTAAATAGTAAAATATAATATAAACTGTATATATAATATTATATATGTAGGCCCTATATTCAATATTCTTATTGTCAACTCATCTCGGCAGATATATTGTATTGGTGAATATTTCATATAATATATTTGAGTAAATTAATAAATGTGTAAATTAATTGCTCATGTGGCCAACTTTATGCGTTTTACTAATTCAAAGTTTATAATATTCCTAATATATTTTAATAATAAATATTATTATTGTAATTTTAAAATTTCCTAAATATAACAATATTAATGCATGCTTATTTCTTGGTGTATTGAATAATGATAGTGTGTGCTGTTATTTGTCTAGAATATAAGAATACATTTCAAGTAGATAAATGAATACGTCTTACCTGTCCTCCGTCATCGATTGCTGAGAGTGGATTGCCGTGATGAAGACCGAGGAGGGATGGATCTTGTTCCCCGAGGGTGAGTCCTGGGTGTCCCCCATGCATGAAAACCTCTGGTCGTCGAACTCCACTGTAATCTGTTCGTCGTGTATCGTACATTCCTGGGAATCCATGGTGCATGTTGTGTATGTCATCTCTATGTCGTAATACATTTCTGTCACTGCTATGAAGTTGGTTATAATGATGTTGTGGAGCTTGATGGAAACTGTTCAAATGTGCATAGGGATCGGCACTAACTGAGGGGTGAAATTCTACAGGCTGTTGTGTGGGAATATTATAGGGTGGGGGGAAATAAGGCGGTTGGAAGTCTGTGGTTGGGGTATGGGAGAGGCGCGGAGCAGTGGAAAATGACCCTGAGGTTGAACTGACGAGTTGTCCCAGTCCACTCTGACTGCACACCAAATCCGACCGCCGGTCCTGAAATGAAAAATAAAGAACATGAATATTCAATTTAAATTAAAATGCTAAAGAAAAACAGAATATCACAAAAAATTGTCACATGAATTCATTCTGAAGTCATTAGCATAATTCCAAAATCGTTCTTTGAAGCTGAAATAAAATGGAGTAAAAACACAACATTATGATCACAATATATATTATCTGTTAGAATTTCAACCGTAAAAGATATATTTATACCAATTAAGTCTGAAAAATTCTCGTTTTTTGATTTCCTTCATATTTGATTATTTTACCTTCGATTTTTTGTATATATTATACGATACATATTTCATAAATGTTTTTTATTGTTTTTCCTTTTCAAGAGTGAAACAATGATATTCGTATTGTTCCTAATATAAATATTTTCTTGGGACTAATTTCAAACAATCTAGCTTGAATAGAACATACATGTTGTAAATATTTCCCCTTGTCGTTCTTTGTATTTCCGACATCTTTTGTGTTCATGTGGTCGTGAAATGAGTCATAATTAATATCTTTTCTTTTTGAAAATTCATAATTGATAATGAAAGATAGGAACCCCGCTTCGCAATTAATATTTTTTTAAGAATTTAATTTAACTCAAAAGCTTGTTAACGAAAAGAAAGAAAAACATTACTAACTCATTTTACAATATTAAAAAAAAATATTACGAACCTGGATCCAAATTCAAAAGAATGATAACCGTATATTTCCTTATTTACAAAAAAAACAAACCTTCCAAATACAAACGATATTAACATTTTAACGTTTTTCGGAACTTAGAATAAACCGTGTTATTGAAACGAGAATGCGTGTGCTTTAGGATACAGTAAGTCGATTCTAGTGCAATATTTAAAATGTCTGTAAGGCATCTCTTAATGCGACTCGTCTAGGTAAGATCCATTTATATTCTAGGGTTGCACTGTGTTTGGAAAACATATACGTACAACAATTCACATCATTTATAAAAGTCGAGTTAACGCGTCTTCACCAACCGTTCCTAGCCCCAAGCAATTTTCATAAATGTTATTCATATTCGACCTATGGCGAAGGCTTTGAAGTTCTAGTAGCGAACAATACAATACATGCTTGATAAATCTAATACAAATTTAAGGTCTCGAGCTTTTTTTTGTTATATCGCGGAGAAATTATCATTGACAATGAATTATAACCCTGAAGGGCAGAAAGATGATATGAATAAGAAAAGAAAAATGATAAAAACATAATAACCACCTCTGTCTCTATGAGCCCGAATGCGGAAGGCATATCCTCTCGTTTCTCATACACAGGGGACAATCTTTCAAAAGCACTTTCTTTAGAATGAAAGCTTGTCGGCTGCAACGTATGAAGCTGTGTGGCAGATCCCAATGTAATAATATCAGACATTCCTTGAATAATCATTCACACTGTTAAAGTAATCGCATCCTATGTAGGCAGAAGATGGTGGATAAGTAGAATTCCAAGGTAAACAGTGAAACACTCACTATTTACCAAACTGTTATATATGATTAGATCTATATGGTATACTAGACTACAGAAATATATGAACCAGGTAGACTATATTGGAAGACACTGTTAGCTTAGTTTACTTGAAGACGATGGATACACTTGATGAAATGGCTTCAAGATACACCGACTATTTTAGGTCACATCAAGCCTCGAGGCACTTGAGCAATAATAAACCACGGGGCTTTTTATCTTGATATTTGGGGCTTGGCTTTTTGTACAGTCAGTCTAATAAAAACATCCGACGAAGGATGTACCATTGCCTTCAACACATGTAACAAGAGCGCTGATTGGTCGAGATATATGTGACGCGTTGGCAATTCGTCTAGAGCCGTTAAGCTCCGCCCGGTGAACGAGGGGAATCTATTGTACAGTCATCAAGAAAAATGGCGACGATTAAGAGCGTTTCTCAATTATCTCAATACAATCTATTGTGTGTGGTATTTACCTAAAAGCTTTACTCTTGTTCATTCAAGTAAGGTGCAAAACAATTGTGTTACGTTTCAACCATTAAGCATTTATCACTACAATATCCCTAAAGGCTTTTATTTTACGGTGTCGGAGAAAGTTGTGATGTCTAAAGCCCCGTTATAGATAGCAAAGCCGTTAAAATAGTTTTCTCAAGACATTGAACACAGCAAGTCTTTAGTCGCCGTAAATCATAAAATATTTTATTGGACTAAAACAACACGCAGAGTAAACATAAAACATTAAATTTATAACTTCATTAAATCTTTTAATTACGTTTATGGTTACCCAGTCACTTTTCACACTCTTAATGTTTATTGAATTATTTTTGGTTCTTTGTTTTATTCTAGTGACGTCAGTCGCCATTCTATTAAATTAATTAAAAATAATCCAGCTTTTCCTTGTTCTAGTTTATTTCGTTTCAATACAAAATAAACTTTCGTTTGTTGTACTTCAACATTTAAGTCCATACATTGTTTTGTTTTTAAATTTTGATTATTAATATTCATTATTAACCTCCGAAGTTCCCATTCCGGATACATCAATTAAATAATTCAACTGATATATTTGATATATTTGATCTTATTGGTTATTCATCACAGCACAATAGAGTTTTAACATTAGCGCATCCCATTTTATGCGCTTACTTTTCCTGTACATTCCTATCATAATTAATTCTTAATGCGTCGCTTTCACTAATAAGCTCTTAATGTTTTAGTTATGATTTGATCTATTCGGCACCAATATTAAATTATAACAGGAAATATTTGCATCATTAATAAGACAAACCCTTTAGTATATTCAATCGTCACCTAGTACAACCTTGTGATTTTATTTTAAAAAAACAAAAATCTTTTATGGACAAAATGTTCCGCCCTAGATCACAACTAGAGAAGTCAGTGATATCATAGAAGGAAATAAGTTGGGGTTTTTTCTTAATGAATTGAAATCATTCATAGACATCATACATTGATTAAGTGAAGGACAGATCAGTAAAGACTTGCTGTAGGCACAAATGCTTGTAGTTTATTAAATAGTATATTATACACGGAGATGCATACAGATCAAATATATTTTGTTAGATGAATCTTTGTGCACATTAAATTTTAATCTATACATTCATAATTAAGGGTTTGTTTAGCTAGAATTTGCATTTATTTAGCGGTATTTGAGGGATTAGGCTGTCATTACCACTTTTTCCCCAGATAAATGTTTGTCTAGGTTACTCCTATAAGGTATGTATTCTATGTGCCTTGAGGTATCATAATATCTTACACCGAAGGTTAGTGATTTTGCGAGGGTATGTGATAATATATATTAATAGTTCTTGTTTACTGTAGACACATGATGTCATAATAGAGTGTGGGTCGTGCACGAGACAGGATAAGAATATCCTTCTCGACCACCTGATGCCACTTTTCAGTAGGATTCTTCTAGCTTAAAAAATCGGTAAGTGCAAATACGATTTTGATCACTATTTCGTCATTTTTCATTATGAATAATTGTATTATGAACGCTCGCCAGAAGATTATGAAGCCCATTGTACATAAACTGCATTTGTGTTAGATTTGAACTAGTTCAAGGTAGTTCTTGTCAAACTACCACCAGAAAGAACTCCACAATGACTGGCACCAAACAGAATACGCATTCAAACTGATCAATAACCATGTAAATAGATAAATTAATGAGCAAGAAATATAACAGATTGCTTTTTTTGAAAATGATAAAAATCAATATATGTGTGGAATTCATTTTTCTGTTCCATTTATTGTATAAAGAGATCAACTTATTATCAGTAAAGCTGTTGTCATTATATAAAGTCATGAAATATCTTAAAGTGGGGTAGACGACATCTGATTTGTGACCACAAAAAGATTTATATGTTAGTATCAGTAGTACGTTAAGAAACATGAAAACCCCTTTATACCAGTGAAGGAAAAGGCCAAAAGTGTCCCCCATGACCCCAAATGTAATATAATAATACACTGTCTAAAATTTGTTTTGGGCAAACTTATCAAATCTCATTAGTTGTTCGTAAGTTCATTATCAATCCTGGATAATCAAAACAGTACTTTTTGAAATTGACATAAACACTGTATTTTGGCAAGCTAATCACTCGCAAATTGGAGTTACTGCAAGTGTACATCTTGATTAAAACTCTGTAAATATAAATAAAGCTTTACTACAAAACTTGTAGAATAATGTGTACAGCTAAATGAGGCGATTGTTTGGACTTCGAAATTCTAACTTTGCGAGAGTTTGTTACTTGCTAAGTCATATAATTCGCATTTTTGAATTAGTTTTGTTTTCTTCCCCAATGATTTGAAATACATGACCCAATGCGATGGATTGAGGGGGGGGGGGGTGGATGGCGTCTATGTTATAAATCAATACGCTTCATCCAGGGAACAATCACTCTAAGTATAAGAAAAATATTATAAAACATAGAGGATATTTAACTAAGGTTTATAATAAAACAGAAGATATTTAACTAATGTTTACAATGAAGTATAGAAGATATTTAACTAATGTTTAAAGTAAAACATAGAATATATTTAACTAAAGTTTACACATGTATAAAGTTGGAATATATGCAAACGAGACAACATTTGAAAGTGAAATAAAAAAGAGTATATATATGTAAATAGCCTATACATCACGTCGGGAGACAGAACGTAGTTAGGTGATTTATCAAGTCGGCTTAAAACAACCCTTCCATATAATTAGAACAATTCGTGATGGTTACCTACAGCATGAATATACACACATGTCAGTCATTTTTATATCTTCTTTTATATACCGTCTATGTAAATATGCTACTAGCTTTTCACCGTATAAAACAACAATCCATAAAAGAACTGAAGATGTAACATTAGCAAATTTTTCAAACCACACAAGAAACTACATACGTAATTAATTTAAACTAATTAAGTCTAGTTATGAGCCTCCAAACAAACTTTCTTGGTTTCGTGTTCGTAACGTGCAAAGCAAGTCCCCTTGGAGATTTCCAGAAAGCCAACTTGACG